TGAATGCAGGCGCTATTTGTTTTTTGAAAATGATAATGTTCGGAGCAACATTTAACTTTTTTCAACTTTTCAAAACATTCTGAAAAGCTAATTTTCACACATTTCAATGCAATCTGGAAGATTCCCGCCAATTTCATTAGATTCCGATCCGCGTTTGAATGCACGTCCAGAAAAACTTGTTCAWCAAACTGGAAAGAGAAGGAAAAACTTAGTCATTTTTGAGGGTTTGTCAATCCAGTTTAGCAAACTGTGGCCCTAAAAGAAACCGTCTTGACTACCTTTTCGCTTCAAGTGATTGACAACAAGGAGAGCTGAGTTCCAGGAAGCTCAAAGGCATGTTAAAGATCAAGAGGAAAAAACAGCGGATTTGTGAACTCTCTTTTTGAATTGTTGAGTAGTAAGTCTTAAGTTAACCTATTATGGATTCGTCGAAGACCAAAGTAGCTGTATAAAAGTTCAAGAGATATCGACTCAAATCATCGAGATGACTGAAAACAGGAATTTGAAAAATCGCTTGGGCTGCTGAAGACTGTGGCGAATTGTTCAAACTTATAAGGTAACTTAACTTAAGAAAATGTCAATGTTTGTCGAAGAAGTTCAAACATGTCAATTGATGTCTTTTTAGTCCTTTTTCATGGCTTATCTCGCTGATATATCTACAAATCTATCTAGAAAGTATAGAGAAAGTTTGAATACGCCAATTTATCTAAGCTAGAAGGTACTCTGGCTAAACAATAAGATTTTTGAAAGTTTTATTTTTAAAGTTTGAAAAACATTTTGCAAAAATASRYGCTAGGCATCTTGCTGAGTCAATTGTACTTTGAACTCTATTGCGCAAGTTTAAAAAGCATGCCCCCAAATTCTTTTTTCACAACTTATATTTCCGCCTTGATCTAAGATATTTATCTTTGGTGAGTACTATAAGCTTAATGATAAATAAAAAAATCCGAACATAACATTTCGTGCCCACTATTGCCGAGAACGAACGGCGATCAGATGTACAAGGCGATAAAAGTACGCCAAGAACGGCATGTAATTTTATTACACTTATATAGATATCATTTACAATAATTTCTAAACGGTATCTCGTTTGAAGGTCTTTGAAATATTGCAAAAAATATTTTGTAATGCTATGCAAAGTCTTTTTCGCTTTCTTTTTGTCTTCAACATGTTCACGTCTCACGAATGTTCATGTCTTCACTTCTACTTATTGTACATAGACCTAGTGCAGCATGGCGATAGACTACTTTATGTTTTTTTCTATTTGTAGTTTTAGCATCTTGTAGACGCTGAACTKAGGCATTTTAGTTTAAAAATTTCCATCAACTTTACATTTGAATTGTTTCTTCAATTTTTCTGTGTCAAAAAGTCACAATAAATGAGCAACCAATGAAAATTGAGAAAAATCTTAGCCAATCAAAATCCATACTTGACCGGCCGATGCCAGGGCTATCTCTGGCGCAGAGTAGCCCTGGGAACGAGGTTGCGTTTGTGTCAGGGCCTTGACAAACATCGTATGGTTGACGTACTTTCGCCAACATTGAAATTTGTGGCAACTTTAAAAAATAATTTCTCAAAAGTGCGGCACTTTATTTTGAAAATTATTTGATATTATAATTATTTAAAGGTTTCTTGTTGATATAAAGCAATCCTAAATTTGGCACTTTTATRTGCTGAAATTTTGTAGGCAGTTAAAGTTGTACGGTTTTCATACGTCTCTTAAACAAAATTTCCATAATTGGAGCGAACATTTCTC